ATTCATTTATACAATGATTTTGTTGTTATTCACTAAAATTGTCATAAAAGTGAATTTTTTTCTTAATTTAATTAAAAATGAATAATAAATATGTTCTTTTGGGAATTTTTTCTTGTGAATCATCTAGTGATCATTTATTTTTTTTCGTCAAAAAAAATATGTAGAAAAAAAACTTCTTACCTTCCTAACAAAAACAATTTCTAACTGGATATATATATATATATATATATATATATATATATATATATATATATATATATATATATATATATATATATATATATATATATATATATGGAAAAGTCAATAGAAAAGCATTATTATTCAAAGAACCAATGAACCAATCCAAAGGTTGGAATTTAAAGCGATCAACGACAAAATGAAATGTTGTAAATTTTTATAATGGACGCACATGTACCGAATTATAACAAAACTCACTTCCTTTTTAATTTAAATGTTTTTTAGGTCACGTTTTTTATTGAAAAAAAATCCAAATATACCATTGTTCACAAGTTTTCGTCCTATTTCTATAGAGATCCATGATAATATATAAAAAAACGATTTCTTTCGAAAAAAACTCACTTAATTTTCTTATTTTTTTCAATATTTAAGCTTTTTTTCATAAAAATAAAAACTAATTATACCAAAAATATTAATTTTTTGTACTCTATTAATAAACATCAATACCGATTTAAAAAAAAACTCGAACAGTGTAGATTCACACTGTAAATCTAAACTGTAAATATTCCAATTTTTAACATTCACAATATGAAAAATTTCAAACAGTTCAGATTCACATTGTGAGTCTGAGAAGGTTCACAAAAAAAAACATCGATCAGTGTAGATTCACATTGTGAATCTAAACTGTAAATATTTCAAATTGTAACATTCACAATGTGAAAAGCTCCGATCAGTTCAGATTCACACTGTGAATCTGATTTATTATTAGACACACCGTGAATCTAAGGAGGTTCACCATGTGAATCTGAACAGGTTTATAATATGAATCTGAACAAGTTCACAATGTGAATCTGAACTGCAATATCGTTTTTTTTAACATGAATATGAATCTATGTTTAAAAAGTACAAAAAATATGAATTTTGATATATTTATTAATTTTTTTCTATAAAAAATAGACCTTAACTTTTTTCATTAAATAAAATGAAGTGGGTTTTTTTTCGAAAAAAAAAGTTCATTTTTTTATATATCATCATGGATCTCTATGGAAAGAAGACGAAAAATCGTGAACAACGGTATATTCAGTTTTTTTTTTTGATAAAAAAATGGCCTAAAAAAAATTTAAACGAAAAATAGTGGTGGGTTTTTTTTTTTTTTTTTTTTGTAAAGGGTGTATTTTTTTATATAATCCGGTGCGTGTGCGTTCAATGTAAAAGTGTACGTCTATTTCCTTGGCCGTTGATTGTTATGATTTCCGATTCTCATGATTGGCTCCTTGGTTCCTTGGTTATTTATGGTTCTCTATTGAATCTCACCCTATATATATATATATATATATATATATATATATATATATATATATATATATATATATATATATATTATACCAACTTGTAACAACCCAAAATTTAAGACCAAAAATTTCTTTTAATAAATCATTACTTAAAGTAAAGTGATCATTCCAAAACATAATATGAGTATAAGTTTTCAAAACACATGTTCATTATCAGAGTAAACATTCCCAGGCTGTCTAATCTATGGTGTGTGCCATGCGATCACCCCGAGCTCTTCCCTCCGCTACCGGAAGTACCTGAAACCAAAACTGAAAACCGTAAGCACGAAGCTTAGTGAGTTCCCCACCCTACCACATACCATGCATAACCACATACTGCACATACTGGGCCACGCCCCCTATCTTGGGCCTCGCCCCCTACCTCGGGCCTCGCCCGCTACAACGGCCCCGCCGCTCCAGGCCCCGCCTAGCTTCAAGCCCCGCTCGGATACAGATCTGTTTTACTTAGGCCCCGCCTGTCACAGGGCCTCGCCCGCCAACAAATAATAACACATACATATTTCACAACACATAACTAACACATACAAACTGGTCCTGTCCTAAGGCCTCGCTTATCCTGGGCCTCGCCCATGTCCTGCTACTGATGAGTCATGGAACCCCGTCCACGCTACTAATGGTAGTGAGGTACGGGCCTAGCCCACTCCCACTCCTGTTCTAGTTTGGGCCTCGCCCCTATTCTGCTACTAATGAGATATGGAACCCCATCCACACTCTGCTATTGGTGAGATACGGGACCTCGCCCACACTCACCTCCCTACCAGGCACATACATGTATCACACAGACAACAACCATAAACTATCATATAAACAATTCCTTGGGCACCCACCCACTATTACTGGACCTTGTCTTGAAAATAATACTAGCATACTGTGCCTAGGGGCTAACCCCCGGGTCTTCTACTCATAACTACATGGGCCGGCATTGTGGCCTTAGACCCATTCACACAGAGGGAAACTCACCTGCACTGGCTGAACCTGCTGATGATCTCACTAGTTGCTGCCTGACAACTCACGAAACTCCTGCTCCTCTTGCTCCCCGAACTACCAATATCAATGCAACATTGAGTCTAACTGGCCCCCAAAAGACAACCAAGTCCACCCTGGTCCAAAGTCAAAGTCCTGGTCAAATTCAACCTTCCAGGTCAACCCTACTCGCCGAGTCACCCTACTGACTCGCCGAGTTCGAAATGATCAGATTCCTTCCATTCCTGACTCGACTCGCCGAGTCAGTCCATGACTCGCCGAGTCTACCGATTTCTGAGTCCAGACCTGTCCTACTCACTGAGTCTCCACCCGACTCACTAATTCGAGTCACAACTCGAAGGGTTTGGGGTTTCGCGACCTGACTCGCCGAGTCCAAGAATAGACTGGCCTAAAAAAAATTTAAAAGAAAAATAGTGGTGAGTTTTTTGTTTTTGTAAAGGGTGTATTTTTTGGTATAATCCGGTGCGTGTGCGTTCAATGTAAAAGTGTACGTCTATTTCCTTGGCCGTTGATCGTTATGATTTCCGATTCTCACGATTGGCTCCTTGGTTCCTTGGTTATTTATGGTTCTCTATTGAATCTCACCATATATATATATATATATATATATATATATATATATATATATATATATATATATATATATATATATATATATATACACGCAATCAAACCTAAACAAGCAAAATTTGGACCGGATAAAAAATTAATTTTCAAAAGACAAAATGGTCATTGTGGTATGCATTTTTGGGAGGTTTCAGTCAAAACCTCGAGTTTTTTGGATTCATGGTCCTTTTGGTCTAGTTTGTACGCAAAATTGGTCCCCCGACTTAACTGTCGTTAAGTTTTTGCTGTTAGCCTCCTCATGTGCATCTCACATTAGTGTATATTTATCTTTTCACTTCTAAATGACCATTTTTGCACCTAAAAAGAGATATATATATATATATATATATATATATATATATATATATATATATATATATTTTAAAAAGTAATATCTTTTTATTTATTTTAATAATGAAAAAATAGAAGATCTTTCTCTTTTTCTCTCTTTCTCTCTTTCTCTCTCTCTCTTTCTCTCTCTCTTTCTCTCTCTCTCTCTCTCTCTCTCTCTCTCTCTCTCTCTCTCTCTCTCTCTCTCTCTCCACCATAAAAGCCCTTTCTTCTTTCATTCATTCACAATGAATCTTTAATGGCTTTTTCCCCAGAACACTCTTCCTCAAAACACTATGTAGATTCGAAGCTAAAAGATTTCCCCAAGTTGTCGATCTTTTATGGGTAAAAAAGAGATCAATTTTTTTCTTGAATTCTCCCATATTCGAAGTAGCTTATATGTCGTTTTTGAGTTCTATTACAATCAAGTTGTCGCAACACCAAATTCATTTCCTCAACACCACCATCAAAGAAATTAGGATTCTTTAGAACAAATCAGAAATTAGGCCTCATCACCTTCTATCAAGCATTTCTTCAAGAACAGTAAGAAAACCATTCCTTGCTCTTCCCTCTAAACTCAAAATCACATGAAATTTCTAAGGCTAAAAAGCCCCAAAAATTGCTTCTGAAGGTTTGCAGGCTTACTCCCATGGTGGTGTGACTTTATCATTCCATATACCCTGTTGATTTGCAGGCTGAGTTCTAGGTCTTGAACATGGAATAAGCAAACAACGAGCGTATTGGAATAACTACTCAATGAATGAAGGATCTTCATCTGTATTGAAAGATTTCACCCTCTCTGATGTTGCCACCATGTTTTCTGTCACATCTTTTGAATCGGTTTTCGAAAGATCAGTCGAGACACGATGAAAAAAGTTCTGGTAAACATCCAAGTGACAAGCATAAAGTTGTTATGAAAAACCCTTAACCGAATTTAAAGTATTCAAAGCTTCAAATGTAGGGAATTTTCGTAGAATCTGAGGGTGAGTGTAATTTCTTCATATTGGTTTTTTGATTGATTGAACTTCTATAAGTGTTCGTAGGTGATGTGGTTTGAGCTAGCTGAAGTGGTGAAGAAATGAAGCTGGAGCAGCACATGGTGAGATCGATTCCCAATTGTGGGGAAGGGTGTGGGGGAGAGAGAGAGAGAGAGAGAGAGAGAGAGAGAGAGAGAGAGAGAGAGAGATCTTTTATTTTTTCATTATTAAAATAAATAAAAAGGTATTACTTTTTAAAGGTGCAAAAATGGTTTTTAGAAGTGAAAAGACAAATATACCCTCATGTGAGATGCCCATGAGGAGGTTAACAACAAAAACTTAACGACAGTTAAGTCTGGGGACCAATTTTGCGTACAAACTAGGCCAAAAGGACTATGAATCCAAAAAAGTCGAAGTGTGGACTGAAACCTCAAAAAAATCATACCACATGGACAATTTTTGCAATTTTATCTTTCAAAATCCGAAAATAAAAAAATAGAATTTTTTTTTGTAATTTTTAAGTAGAAAATACAACAGGAATGACTCATATTCCCATCAATACATTAAATTTATGTCAAATGTTGAGCTGTGTGATGGAAGCTGCGTGTTGACCATTTACAAGCCCTCACAATACGACTTCCTCAGCCTCCTCTCTTTACTTTTTCCCATCAAAATTCAAATTCCCACCTCACAGTTTCCCATTTCTCTCTTCATCTCTCCCAAACTCCGTCACACCATGGATGATTTCAAATCAAAATCATACAACTACAGTGATCGAGACATGCAACTAGAGAGATACAATGGTGGATTTGGCTCAAAAATGCCAGATTTCGAGCACCACCCACCCCGCGATTTCAGATCTTACAGCGTTTCATATGCCTCTTCCTACAAAATCCCACAAACGAACCTGGATATCGTTGTTTCCGGAGCTGGAAATGATTTCAAGCTGAAGAAAGGGAAGTCCACAAATGGATCCGCCACAAAATCATGGAGTTTTAGTGATCCTGAGTTTCAGAGGAAGAAGAGGGTTGCAGGATACAAAGTCTACTCTGTTGAAGGAAAACTCAAAGGATCCTTTAGGAAGAGCTTCAGATGGCTTAAAGATAAGTATACCCATGTTGTTTATGGGTAATGTTTTTTCTTCCATTCTTTGTTAACTTGAGATACATCTCCATGAATACTGGTTCCTATCATGTGAATTTTATCAGTTTTCATGTATATATATATGTGTATGGATGAATATACTGGGTTCTTTGTTTTATTGCTTGTATGAGTGAAAAGGGGTTAGGCATGTATCAATGTTCTTGAATCATTCAATGATCTTGTTCAGTTGACGACGTCAAACATACTGTGGTTGATGCAAAAGTGTAGAATCTTTTTTTGGGTTTCGTCATTAATAATTGTTTCTTTTGAAATATTGATCTACAATCTTCAAGAAACACGTTTATTTGCTGTAAGCCGTTAGCACATACTAATTTTTATAATAATATATTTTTTTATTAATTTATACAATTAGGTTTTATATGTTTTTTATTAATCTAAGACAAAATTTCAGAATTTATCTATCTGGTTTTCAATAAAAATTTTTGTGGACAACTACAGGAAACATCTCACCACTATTCTTGTGGTTTCAATTAATTACTTGATTGGTCCTTGAGCATAATAACGTCTAAATTTGGCCAAACTAACATCCCATATTACTATAATGGACAACAGAAACACAAATAATGGCACCTAACAAACTACATCATCAAAACCAATTGTTTGAATATTATCAGTTATTACAATAACCGAGTGTCAAAATTAATATACCAAATTACTAGAAAGTAGTGTCATCAACCAAAAGCAATCACCAAACATAATTAAAGTTCAAACAAACATAAACCAGCGAAATTGCAGGTATGTACCTTTTCTTTTCTTCTTGGCCGATGCAACTTCATCAGGCCCACCTTACCCCTTGTAGCTCCTGGAACTATGCCTTTTGTTGTAGCACTAGTAGCACATCAGAGTCAAATATTTCCTTTTTAGACTCTTTCCATGGTTGTTAGGCTAATATTAAACTTTTTTTTTTTTTTTTTTTTTTTTTTTTTCTCTAGCCTACCCACCAGTAAAATTAAATAAGTTAAGAAGTTGTTGAAGAAATGCATATCTAGTTTTTGCTTATCGTTATACCAACGTACATGGGCAAGATGACTTGGGCCACATTCTCCTTTCATTTATGGGATCAACCTTGAATTTCTGCATTCAATCTATGTACATTTGTTAACCCAATTCTCCATGTTAGCATAATAAAGATATTAGGCCCTTTTATGGTTTGCGCCTTATTTGGCCCTCTAGCCGTATTTTGTTTACATTTAGTTTACATGGTATCAAAGTTGTATTATGCCCGTCGTTTATGATTATTGGAGGTGAGTTATATGTATTGGGTATGTTTTTCTGATTTGCTTCTATATTTGGTTTGTTTTGATGTGTTTGGATTGTTCGAGGATTTCAATTTTTGCTGATATTCATTTGATTTTGGGTTTTACATCGTAATTCACTCTGTGATTTGGGTATTGCCGTCGCAATTCGAGGATTGTTCAAGGGTTATTACTTGTTTTGCCACGATTTTGGGTTTTTTGTCGTTTGCGCCACAATTTTGGGTTCTTCGTGCCGCAATTTGGGTGATGCTGCTACGATTCTCCCCTCTTATATTCGAATAAGTCTTCTCAATACATGAAGTTTGAAGGTTTCCCAATCTTTCTTACTCTTTAATAACCAACTGCTGACAACCTGATGCTTACCCTTGCTAGTCTTCTATTACTTGCCCAAACCCCAAAGACCACACAATTCCTAAAGATCAGACGAACACTTCCCAAATCCTAGCGAAACCGATAATCTCAGACGCCTTGAAATGATATCACACTTATATCTTGAAGTCCAAATAACCGATGCCCAAACCAAAGCCTCTGCGGTAGACCACTTCCCCTAGTGCTTCCAAAAGTTGAACTAAGCACAATGGTTGAGTCATCAATATTGACAGTAGATCTTCCGCATCACGTCCCTGATTAGATCTCGGCCATAGACCTGGATAACATTGAACGCTCCAAACCAGCAAAGAAGGAAACGACCTTTCACTAACTACCCTGTAACTTATGGTACGCACATGGCATACGACAATGTTTGAAGATATAACCCAAAATACAAGTAGGAAAACAAACCCAGAGGTTCACTTACCCAAACACTTGGAACTAAAACTCCATCGTGCATTTTCCCGCAAGTGTTGCACTGAATCAGGCCCTGCTGGCCTCTCAAAAGCTGATCCGAACTCTTGGGTTTCTTCCCGAGATCCTCCAAAAAAATTTACATGACCTGAACCTCTCTTATCGAGGTACTCCAAATCAATCTTCCGCCCTCGGGCTCTAGGACCCATATCATTTAGGGTCTCGCACCCTGACCCACTCACCAGCTCAATTGTCAATGGCTAAACTGTAATAGCTGGAGCAACCTATGCTCTAAGTCGGGCTACTAACTACCCTAAAGACGTAGTATCTAATCGCAAATCCAAAATAAATCGCACAATCAATCATTGTCGCTTGATAAAAAAGATCCAAGGCAAACTCAAAACCCTAGCAATCCTTCCACTAACTGGCTCACCACCAGAGCCGGGACCAAACCCTGGTCCTTCCTCATGCGTGCTCATCCTCATCTGGCAAAGCAAGTATCCCTACTATCAGATCATAAACAAGAATTCTCCTTCCCATAAGCTTCTTCGATTCTCCAAGACTCTCACCGATTTGAGTATGGATCTTGTGCTTTCAGTAGTACGGGCCCAATACTACCTTCCATACCTATCCATACTTTTCTCGACAATCCTCCTGAATCCTCTAAGTCACCTACTCCACTGATGCATTAAATATCTGTTAAAAAACAACCTAATACCCACCGAAGCAACTCCTAGGCTCTCCCTAGGTTCCTAACCTCACCAAACCACCCCATTAACTCATTGGAGCATATCCTAGGCTTTCCTTGGTTCCCAACCTCGCCCTGCCAGCAGCTGCTGAAGAACTCTTCATGATGTCAGCCATCCACCTCCTGAATATCGTCATATTCACTTAATAGCTGACTCTCATCGTTCAAGAGTTCCAAAGAGCACAAAGCAAGAAACATTCATGCAGTAGCACTCTGATTCAAAGAACTATCATAGAACATTCAGCCCACATACCACAACTCATGTTATCCACATCCATCCATCCTCACTGCCAGCTGCCTTATGCATGCAAATTATACACAAAACAGGATCTAATAGACAGTCGAATAATAGACTCTACCCTAGGACCACAAGCAGAAAAGGAACAGGAAATAAGGCCAAATCAATTATTCTAAGGCTATAAGATCCTAACCATATACAATTTTAAAAGCATACACTTAACAGTTACTTATACCAATAATCATTATCATTCTAGCATGGCAACAAATATTCCCAAGGCTACAAGCACCACATATCAGGCCAATCTATTGCTGACTACTCAGCACTAGCATGCAAGTCTACCAGATCCTACAACATATAAAGGCATCTCTCATAGCCCTAACTAGCATGTGATTCAAAGAATCATAAGTCAATTCATAACAGATAACATATATGCGTATTCTAGGGAAACTTACTTGAGCTCGGTTGATTGCATGCACTAAACCCTTTCTTGTCTTAGAAACTCTTTCCTTCAAAATATTTTTCTTTTTAAATCTTTACAGATCCTCAGTTTGAGTTCAGACACACCCGAAAGTATGTATGAATCCCCCAAACCAAGGCTCTGATACCAACTTGTAACGACCCAAAATCAAGGGTAAAATTTTTATTTTTATTATAGTCAAAACACAGATCTCTTCTAAATCCAAGCATTCCAAAAACATGGTTAATTAAAAACATTTATCAATGTTCGTCCCAAAATCATATATTGCGTAAACACGGGTGTGTGCGCTGCGATCAAGCCGGACCATTCCTTTCAAAACCAATGATACCTGGAACCATATACAAAACTCTAAGCATGAAGCTTAGTGAGTTCCCCAGAGCATACCCTACACAATCCGCATAATCACATAAATCATATAAGCTATATCAGCTACATTAACCACATAGGCCATGCATACAAACATATAAGGATGCCATGGACTCCCACTAGGGTCTTATACCTTTATGTCATAGTCTCCCCCCATGGTCTTTACTTAGATTGCCATGGGCTCCCCTCATGGTCTAATATCAAACTGCCACCCCCAGGGTCTTCCATGCAAGTACATCAAAGACAACTAGCATATCACACATCACATAAACAAATAATATACCACATACCACATAAACGACTAGCATACCACATATCACATTAACAACGCATACAAACATATAAGGATGTCGTGGACTCCCTCCAGGGTCTTACTTCAGGATGTCGTGGGATCCCCATAGGGTCTTACAACTATATGCCATGGGCTCCCCCCATGGTCTTACTTGGATTGTCATGGACTCCCCCACAAGGTCTCACAACCAAGTGTCATGGGATCCACCCATGGTCTTTACCTGGAATGCCATGGGCTCCCCAACATGGTCTAACAACCAGCTACCATGGGCTCCCCCTATGGTCTTTAACTCGAATGCAAAGGGCTCCCCCACATGGCCTGATATTCGAGTGTCAAGGGCTACCCCCAGGTTCTTTCATGCAAATATCAAATAAACAACTTGCATACCACAAAGCATATAACCAACTAGTATACCATATATCACTACATCAGCTAGTGTACCACATATCACAAAATGGGTCGGCCTTGGTGCCTTCGACCCATTATTATGGTGAGGAGACTCGCCTCGCACTGTTGAAGTCCTACGGATAAAACTCCAGCTATTGGTTGACAAATTCCCAAACTGTCAACATCAAAACAACACCAATTAATAATTGGGTTCCAATACATAACCATAGGCTGATGCTTAGGGTAAACAAACTATTTTACCCTTAACCTAACTTGGTCCAAAACCAAGGTCCAAACACACACTCTGAAGGCCCAAAAACCAATCAATGAACCAAGGCCCAATATATGGCCCAATTTTCCAAATTGGGCCCAAACCGCTACATGGACTTATCTTAAGGTCCAACCATTTATTCTAGT